CGTCTTTATTTTTGCTTCACAATCATATTCTAACAAAAAACATCTGGCAACAGGGTGGTGTGTACTCACTGCTGTGTGTCTGAGGCTCTGCGGTCGTGGACATGGCTGCTCTGACTGCAGATACCATCAGACACATGCAGAGGATTTATAAACGCCAGAGGACAACCTTTAAACTTGTGGTTTCTTCCCAAGATAAGGAAGTTGAAACAACAGGTGTGGGACAGAGTTGACTGTCATTAAACCGGCAAGAAAAGCAGCTTGATTTCATGATGCAGGTCACTGTTAGCATAGTGAGACATAATACATTAGTATAAAGTTCTTAAAGATACAACACAATTAAATGGTATCGGTTAAAAAATAAATATTTGATTCAATTGTTATGCTTAAGACTCAAAATCTGTATGTGTTATATTATTATATGTTACTTGTATTATTGCATTGTTCTTATTAATAGTAAATGTAAAGGTATCTAATGTCTAATTCCAGCACCAGACACTTTGTTACACTGCTATGGACAATCTTGCACTATGTACATTCCCTAACATATTGAAGTGACTGTTATTTTGTATTGATTGTTGTGTTTTATCTTAATGTTTGCATATGTGTAAATGTGTCTGTTGATTGTATATACATATTTATACATTTGTATTTTGTATTCGGGATTATTGGAAACGTTATTTCGATCTCTCTGTCTGTACAAACACACAGAACAATTGACATTAAAGTGGACTTGACTTTGATAGTGTTTATTTGTATATGTTGTGTGCTGTGTGTAAGAATGACCTTTCGACCTTTGGCATTGTATCAACGTACTGGTCATATCTTATCTCACTTTCTATAATAATGCAATTCAAATTGCAGTGTCACACATAGGTGTCACACTGCAATCAGGGCTCCTATACGATTTAGTCCGGTTAAATAATATAAAATGTATATCATTTCCTAAGATATTGCAAGCAGAATTGATATGCCAAACCTGTTGCCATGTCTTCTAGCCAGATGCATCAGTATCTTAAAAAAAATAAGTGCAACAGTAATAAGGATTTGTTTAAGACCCTCAGTGATAATTGGCCATGCAGGATTGTGTCGGTGTGTCTAATTCTGATAATGATAGCGTTCAAGTTATTTGACATTGCATGCAACACCCCAAGCAGTCCTGCTAACACATCCCTGCTAACACGCCTCTCAGAACGGAAATAGTTGTGGTTGTTCCAAAACCAAAATACTCTGAATAACTCGTCTTACACTGTACTGTGAGTGTGTATATGTTTAAAACATGTGTGAATGAAGAACACTAAAACTAAAAGAGGGACCGCTTTTAAGTAGAAACCACACTTATATGTATACAAAACATGAAAATACCTGGGGACAACGAAATATATAAAAAGGTCTCTTAATTGTTTATAAATGGTAAAGGGTTTAACATTTTAAAAAACAGACTGAGACTGAATGCCAAGTTTAGGTGATTGATAATAATTGTGTCTTCAAAAAGAGGACAGAGCAAACATAATTTATAATGAAAATAGATATATAAAATGAGCAATTGGAACATGATCATACAGGCATAAACACTCAATCAATACAAATAATGATATATTCTAGCTTTAAGCTGTTTTTAACACACTACATCACTGTATGTGGTTGGACAGGCTGCTACTCTCTCCCACTCGACATGAAGGGAAATTAAACCTGGCGTGTACGTACAAGACCTGTAGGAAGACCAGTTGGGTCATGATGTGCTTATGAGATTCAATTAAATCGGTAGTTCCCACACAGGAGTTTCTACGATATGATAAACTCAAAAATGCTAGGAAGAACTAAATTAAACCAGAGTAAACAAGGACATCAAAAAGAAATAAACATAATGCAGCAACTATCAAAAAGCGAAAGCAGGGAAGGCCTTCTGTTAACATCAGGAGGAAGGATGATGATAAAAGCAAATCAGCAGCAGACAGCCAGCCGATGTTTGGATTTACTTCAGCCCGCCAGCTCAAACCACACCGCCTGTGGCAAATAAGGCTGCCGCTGGAAAATACAGCTGTGTCGTTTTTTTTCGAGGCAGAAAGCTTAACAATATGGACGTTAGTGAGCTCAGAATGTGATAAAGCATTGAGACACAAATCAAAAGATCCTGCATGCTGTACATTGTCATGGTGTTGTCACAATACTATTTATACATTATTGCAAAATCTGTCTCCTTTGCTCCACATCCAAGTACAATGTTTGCTGCCGTAAACCTTACAAGTGTCATCAGGAGTTCAGCTTTTCTGTTCTGTGAGGGAAAACCTGCTGAAGTGTACCTGCTACAAACCCCCGGGGAGCTTTCAGTTGATGAGGTGTTTAGCTTTGCTAAGCCATGAAACTAGCTTCATCTCAAAAGATGACAGGCGGCACATAAACATATTTCAGTGGCAAAGAGCAGATGTCGGAGATCAGAGGTTTTCAACTCAAATCGGAGATATTTCAGGTCAGGGTGATTTCGCTGTAAAAGTAGCATTACCTGAGATGTAGCTAACCTATTACCTATTCTGATCCTGTCCCGTTTAATGTAGTTGTATAACTACAGCACACACGTCAGTTCATTATCTTGTGTCATCTGGCGCCTTAAATGAATACACAACGTTTAATCAGAAAGTGGGCGAGGGGGTCATCTATTCTGGACACTGCAGCACGTTCAACTGTGTTTTGAAGAGTCGTTTTAATTGGCTTTCAATTAATTGCATATTGCACCTGTATGGAAGCTTATCACATGCACTGTGATAATGCTTTCACACACAGACAAAGAACATTTAGACGTAACAATCACAACCCTAATATTAGTTTGTTGCTATCGTTGCTTTTGAAGTGGTTTTTTTATCCACCTATCAAATATTATCTCCAGTCTGTAAACTATGGGTAGCTCTAACCACTCTTTGAAAATGATTTAAAAAACAAACTTGATTTATATAATGGTTTTGTAGATTCAGCTGTCAGATGTTGTTAGGTATTTCTCGTAGTGTATTAGAGTATCTGACTATCATTTCCAACATCAAAGATTAGCTTGACCTCCTTTACAGAGGCTTCTGTAGTGTACAACCTAATTAGATTCAGAACTGATTCCTTAAATGCCTTTTTTATACAAAGCTTAAATGTAATTTCGCTCCAGACAGACACAAACATGTAGCATTACATATGTCTATCTTAATGTAAAATAATGCCACTTATGGTGTCTAAACAGATAAAGTGTCCCATCTAGTGGTGAACTGGGAAACTAAAGGATTCATGAACTGAACAGAAAATCCAGTCTGAAGAAGTCTGATAATTGTGTATTTCTTCTCATTACTGAAATGCTTAGTACAACACAATGTTTGTTCAGAGAGGTTACTCCCTCGCTCCTGTGCCTGCCTAACGTGTGGCCTCAACAACCTGATTCTGTCTGAGCTGATTTCAGGTCCTCATCAGAAACACCTTGGAAATCATTTCAATCACTTTGTGTTCAAACAGTGACTTGATTCACAACCTTTGCTGCCTCCTCCTCATAACACCCAACCTTAATTGTGCCATGTCACACCACCCAAGCAGTCTCTTACAGATTAACACTTCCAACTTGACATTTTAATATCTCTGAAATTGCTCCCTAGTCTCATAACGTAATCAAGTTATTTGAACAAGGCCATGATGAACTGGGCCAGTGTTCCAAACCACCATTGTTTCCTACTTCTTACTAAATTGACTGTATTTATATAACGCTTTATCCATTCTTTACGAACCCTCAAAGCGCTTTACATCCAACAAGTCACCATTAACCCATTCACACCTCATTCATACACAGCAGTGCCATTTTCACAAGTAAGCTAACCCTCACACACATTCACACACCGTCGACCATGCCTCAGGACCACCTTGGGGTTAGGTATCACTCCAACATGTTGGCTGATTGAAAGGCAACTCTACATCGAATAACGCTAAGAATATCCAAATCAGAATCGGTTGTATTATCAAGTAGCTTCACACTTACAAGGTATTTGCTTTGGTTTATATTGTGCATACCAAGACACAGAAAGAACAATACGTGGCAAAAAACGTAATTAAAACAGTACGGTTATAAACGCCATTTCAAAAAACTATTTTAAGACTATTGCAACAAATACAAAATAAAGACAATATTTACACAACATATTATTATGTGAGAAACGGAGTACAGTCAAATGTAATAAAATATGACTAATACTATATATTCAAAGTCAAAAGCTGTGCAGATTGAAAAAGAGGTAGTATGGAGAAGAAATGTTATAGCTATTTTTATTATATGTACAGCACTTTGGCTCGACCAAAAATCGTTTATAAATGTGCTATATAAATAAAACTTGATTTGATTTGATTTGAAATGTGCAACATGGATTTACAATATCAAAAAGAAGATAAACTGTTCCCAGGATGTGCATTTAGTATGTAATGCAACATGTTTGTCTGGGGGTGATAAAAGTCAGTGGGGGTCCCGGGCCTTGTCAATGAGGCCGGTAGCAGACACTGAGAATGTTTGGTCATGCATTATCTTTCACATTTCCAGCGCTGCGGGACTCAGTAAGAATCTAAAGAAGTCAAAGATTGCGCTGCCACTGTCGATATTTTCTGCACCGATGACACCAGCTGTTCCTCATTGTGCCGGTTATGTATCGCAGTAATATCCCTATATTGAGTTTTGTGTCACATTTCTGAGAAAAACAGTCCTGTAATCCAGATGTTGGCTCACCCATGCTGTTATGCAAGCATTTAATACCAGGTTTCAGGGAAGAGACTGTCATGAAAATTAGCAACGGTGAGATTGAAAACAGAGAATAATGTGGAGCGGTGTGTCTTCACCTCCACCAGCTGTTGAAGACACACACATATGCATGTACAAAGAACATACATGTATCAGCATACATGTAGCATGCATAGAGGACACACTGTAGCTTTACATGAAGGTCACGGGAAATGTTCCAGAATACACACCTGTGTGTTTCGTCCGCCACCTAATCTGCGCTGACCCTCGTCGCCATTGGTCCATCCCCATCCCCTGGAGGCCATGGCAAACCAATGGGAGTGTGCGCTGCTGCATTCAGAGCGGGTGTTGCCCGTGGTGGAAAGTTTAAAAGAGTGTGTGTCCCGCTGTGCCTCAGCAGAAGCATCCATCAACATGATCCCCATTGTGCTGGCCTCAGTGCTCATTGCTAGCGGTAAGAACATCTGGCACCCTCTAATTCTGTGTGTAATTGTTTCTCCAGTTTGCAAGTTTGTGTGAGAGAGTGTGCCTGCCTGCATATTACCACACAGTGAGCTAGCATTGTGCACTTGAAAAGACAAATGATGCAGCATAAGAATACAACATGTATTGTTCTCTAACCTCATAAACACTCTATCTTATGTCTCATGTATCTTCCCTCTCCAGCCCTTGGGTGCGGCACCCCCGCTATCGAGCCCCTGACTTCCCGTGTGGTCAATGGAGTCGACGCCAAGCCCCACAGCTGGCCCTGGCAGGTATGCTAATATAAACACATCTGTCTATCTTTTCATATTAGCTGGCAAACCTTATGGGTCTGCTAATTAGTTTCCAAATCCAGTGGCTATTGAAAACTCTAAATTAAATGGTTTTGAATTAATTTAGCAAAACCCCTCCCTAGATTTACAACCTGGTGCATCCTTTACCATGTCCTTATGTGTCTCCAGATCTCTCTGCAGTACGAGAGGAACGGTGCGTGGAGGCACACTTGTGGAGGATCTCTGATTGCTGCCAATGGGTCATGACTGCTGCTCACCGCATCAAGTACGAGCATCAGAGGAATACACACACACACACACACACACACACACACACACACACCACACACACACACACACATCCACCAATGCCCACTACTACAAGTCACATTCTCACAGATATGCTGCACCACACTACTCGCCTAAATCTGCACCCATACGAGAAAAGAGAATCAGGCAAGGTCCAGGAGTGTCAAACTCAAATGTCATCCTCAAAAGAAAATACAGTCAAGGTCATCTGGACACTGCCCAATTAAAATACTGTTCCTCATCTTGCAGCCATAACTAATCATCAATTAGAGCTCATTACATCGTTCAACTGTGCATTAAATCTTCCGGCTGGGTTAGCAAGGACCTAAACAATCTGTTCTCTCTTCCCTCCCAAAGCGAGAAGCTGAAATACAGAGTCCACGTCGGAAAACACAACCTGGTGGAGCTGGAGGCCGGCTCCAAGGCCATCCTGACCGACAAGATCATCGTCCACAGGCAGTGGAACCCGGTCCTAGTGGCCATCGGGTAAGACAAGCACTAAAACACAGCACAAAGAGAAAGCGTGCCGCGACATGCAGTTCATCATAATCTCATCTGCACTGTGTCGAGGTGATAGAGTGGGCCGACGACACTCAAAGTCCATTCATTCACTTCGGTCCAACACGTACCTTTGACACAAGTTCTCCATCTTCAAAGAGCTCACATTCCTGCAAAGGTGTCTCGAAACATGAATAACAGTTGACCTCTTAAACCATGTGTATTATTCATAGTCAAATATGCAGCTGGATTTTGTCTTTAGAAACATTAGATAGATGCAGTAAGATTGAGATGTCTTTGTATACATAGCTATACTACTAATACTATATGGCAAATACAGATTGCAATGCTCAATTAGCGTCACTTTCTCTTGTTTTTTGATGTGGTCCTTGCAGAAATGATATTGCCCTGATCAAGCTGTCGGAGTCTGTGACTTTGAGCGACCATGTGCAGCTGGCCTGTATCCCTGCAGCTGAGACTCTGCTGTCTAACCTCTCCTCCTGCTACATCACCGGCTGGGGCAGGCGGTCCAGTAAGGCACTATTTACTGAAGGCTGTTTGCTTTTCAGACATTTAGCTTAGCATCGCTGGAATATCTTCATATCATCTGGGTTGGGAAGGTTACTTAAAAAAAATGTATGCAGTTACAATTACTAGATACAAATAAAAATGTAAGCAGTTAGATTCCCTCCATAGCAAATACAATGCTAATACAGACAATACTACAGGAGAAAATACATATTATACATAAAGCATGGTGGCAGCCTGTTGCAGCAGCATCCTGCATATATATTTATTTGTTGTCTTTCTGATGCTTTATTTTCCTTTCGTTTGATTCCATTTGTACTTTTTTTAATAATTCATGTGCAATGACTTTTAATACTGCTGCCGTTACAAATGTCCACACTTGGGTTGAATCCATCTTTATATCTACACACCGTATTTTTAAATCAGTTGTCGCCCCAATGGATTTTGAAAAAATAATTACACGAATGAGCAAATTCATTCCGTATGTTTAACTATTTTAAGTAGTGGACTACAACATTGTATTTACAAAGCATTTACCTGTAAATGTTTCTTCAAATGAGTTGTTGACTCCTTGGATATTGACAGAATATTAACAGCTGGAAGGCACAGCTTGCAGTGAACAGTAATGTTTCTCTTTTCTCCTTTTAACACAAAATAATAGCACATTTCCCACCCAGTGGAAACATTCTTTGAACTACAGGGACTGTAGATTTGCTACGATTTCACTCAAGCCTGTGCTTCGTGATATACCCTTCTTTGCTTTAAAACGTATTATAATGAGTACATCTTCTTAAATGTAACTTTAAGATTATTACATAAATCTTGTTTAATGTATGCTGTTACTCCCCAAGCCTGGCTGTTTATGTGTCAGTGTTATTTCAGCTTAGCATATTTGAAATGTCTTCATGTAACTGTCCTTTAGGGTTTTATATGTGATGTTTGTGTAAATACCCAGCTGTGTAAGAGATGGTGGTTTCCCAAGGAATAGATAGGATGTAAAGCCTATGCATGAGATTATAGCTGTATTCTTTCAGGGGGGGATTACACCTAAATTGATATATTTGGTGGGTCTGTGAACTTGGCGCTTGGGGAAATGCTGTAGAGCAGATTTGGTGTGTGTGGAAGATGGTAATAGACTCTGCCTGTGTGTTCCAGCCGGAGGCTCCATTGCTGATAAGCTGCAGCAGGCTTTGATGCCTGTGGCCGACCATGAGACCTGCACGCAGTCCGACTGGTGGGGCGTCGCCATCAGGAGGTCCATGGTGTGTGCCGGAGGGGATGGAGTCGTCGGTGGATGCAACGTAAGTGTGTGTGTGTGTGTGTGTGTGTGTGTGTGTGTGTGTGTGTGTGTGTGTGTGTGTGTGTGTGTGTGTGTGTGTGTGTGTGTGTGTGTGTGTGTGTGTGTGTGTCAAGCAATGACTTCCCCTGGCTCAAATGTTGTGTGACTAAGATCATCTTTAAGCTTAACAGAGTACATTAACTCAAGTACTGTACTAAAGTACAACATTGAGGTCCTTGCACATTAACAGAGTATTTTAATTTGATGCTATTCCATCTCCTATTTTAGAAGCCAATTCTCTACTTTGTTGCTCCACTACATGTATTTTACATCATTACATTATTCAAATGATTAGTTAATACAAAATAAATACAAATTATTCTTAAACATTGACATATACGTTAAGATTTCCAGCAGCAGTATACAGAGTAATTCAAGTGCTCTACTTTTACCAGCTGTGATTAATACAGGAATGCATCAATAATCATAATCTAGTATTTCACTACTTTCACTTTTGGTAATATAATAAGATAAACAGTAGTTTATTGATCCCAATTTTGGATTAATTTTTTTATGCCAACACTAAATTCATATTTTCAATGAAGGACTTTTACTTTAATATATCTCTAAAATGTAGTATTGCTAGGTTTAATTAAGTAAAATCTTCTTCCTGCAAAATACATTGTCCAGCGTTTTGACCCTACTTTCTGTTCTGTCATTATTTCAGTGATGCACATTTGAGTTTGAAGGCAAAAGGTGGGTTTAAATACAATTATACAAGGAATCAGGGGGGAAGCTGTTCTGCCTACACTGGAAAATATTCCTTGTGTCCTGTCGATGACACTTGGTGAAACAATGATTGTGATTCTCACAGTTGGGCTTTGCCAGTGTCCCAGCAGCACCACCAAATGAATAAAATATGAGCTCTGCTGCTCTCTCACTGTGTTTCCAGGGCGACTCCGGTGGTCCTCTGAACTGTCAGAACAGCGAGGGCACCTGGGAGGTCCACGGCATCGCCAGCTTCGTCTCTGGTCTTGGCTGCAACTTTGTGAAGAAACCCACCGTGTTCACCAGAGTCTCCGCTTTCAACGACTGGATCGACGAGGTAAGTGCCTCCACTTGCCCCTCAGTGAATGCTCCTCATGGTTTCAACCTAATGACTGGACGTTTGTGTTTTCAGGTCATGATGAGCAACTAAAGAAGATGAAGTGTCAATAAATTATTTCAAGAAAAGTGCATTGGCCTTGCGTCTGTTCAATCAAATCTAGCAGACTCTCACATCTGATCAACTCACATCCGGATGAATAATGAATGCCACATTAACTGACTCTGTGCCTTCCCATGAGGCGAGCTATACATGGAAACAATGTCAACCAATATCCAGCAGGTGTCCTCATTCACTCATGATAGGAAATTAGTTCCGACAGCTTCCCAAATCAGGACACTGTGCAGAATGACCAATGTTCCTGACTGCCAAAAACAGCAACACACAGATAACTCATATAAAACAAGCATCATGGTCAATCAATGATAGGTCAAATAGCACCGTTCCATATTGGATGAGGGAATGACGTAATGTTATGAAATCTCTTCATGTGAAATATGAATCTAATATCGCAGCTTGAAACTGACCTGCTTGTCCGTGTGCCCTTTGAATAGGAGGGCTTTATGAAAACCACAATGCTAGGGAGTCCATCTTCCCTCGTGATAATAGCGCTGTGAAAATGAGAAAAGGCCACGGCAAAGTTGAGATTAACACTTCTGTCATTTTCTTTTCCTTTTGTGATGAGAAATTAAATTGCCTCTTGTTTCTTTATTTCTTTATTTTTTATCCCACTCTTTTTCTCATTTGAAACATTCTCCCGTAGACACACACCCTGATAACTTTTGACAGTGTAATGGAGGTGTGCGAGCATCTTCATTGACATGAGAGGTAGTGTTCAGACATGACAAATCCTGCAAGAGGAAGTAATAATGTGTGTGTGTGGTGGTGTGTGTGTGTGTGTGTGTGTGTGTGTGTGTGTGTGTGTGTGTGTGTGTGTGTGTGTGGGGGGTGTGTGTGTGTGTGTGGTGTGTGTGTGTGTGTGTGTGTGTGTGTGTGTGTGTGTGTGTGTGTGTGTGTGTGTGTGTGTGTGTGTGTGTGTGTGTGCACCTGCCTGCATGCGTGTGTGAGTGTGTAAGAGCAGGCAGAGGGAGAGACAGAGTGTTTGTCTGTGTTTCTGTCAAGCTTTATCCGAGTGCATTTCTCTGATATGATGAATCACTCTTCTGAAGAAGCTTTCTCTGGAGTATCAGCCTGTGATCAGTGATAACTCTCCCATGCAGGCTTTCAAGAAGTGCTGCTCCCTGACTAATTCAGTCTGATTTGGATGAAAAATGAAGGTATGCAAGGATATTGCCTGTCTACATTTCAAGTGGATACTTAAAAATAAACCCGTACATTTTTTACTAGCACTTTGTTTTGTTCCAGTAATGCTGATGCAACACTGCATGAATATGTGAGTGGAGTAATTAATCAAAATGCAATAAAATAACAAGGTTAAACATTTATTACGTTGTTTCTGAAATCATCCAATCATGGTGTTAAAATGAGGATGAACTGATAGTCTTATAACTGAAGTCTTTATAATGACTGTGAATATTTCACACGATTTCACACGATTTCTCCAATTGTGTATGCATTTAATTGAGTTTAGCTACCACATCATCACTATATTCATATTGAATTAAAACACAGTACTTCTTGAAGTATTGCCAATAGCCAACCAGCCAAACACTTTGACATGAGCCGCTGCTCTCTCCGTCCCCCTGGAAAACTTGTTTTCTAAAGCCAGAGCCTCAAAAGAATGCTTTGTCCCTGCTTGAACTTTGTGGGTCATGGTGCCCCACTCCCAACACACACACACACACACACACACCACACACACACACACACACACACACACACACACACACACACACACACACACACACACACACACACACACACACACACACACACACACACACACACACACACACACACACACACACACACACACACACACACACACACACACACACACACACACACACACACACACACACACACACACCACACACACACACACACACACACACACACACACAAAGACAGAGAGCCTTGCAGAACCCCCCAGGGACACACCGCTTTTGTGCTGAATACCAATGAGGACAAGAGGAGGCAACACGTTTGTTTTAAGTTTGTGCAGCTGCTATTCAGATCCATGCAACTTTTCTCAAGTTTACTATGCGGGGAGGGGGCATGTGTTTGTAATGCACAACAGCTCTGCCTGTGGGTTAGACACAAATAATGACAAAATGATGCTTGAAATTAATGATTCTGCTCGATCATTGCACAACTAGCCTTGTCTTTTGAAGTCATATTAACCTATTATAAGTATCTAAAGCATCCTGCCCTGCTGGAAAAACACAGCTTAGACCAACCTAGCTAGTCAGTTAGTTGACCAGCCTGGATGGTTTAGAGGGGTTTTGGACACTTTAGCTGGCCAGCTAAAAAAAACAGCAGCTGGTCACCAGCATCCATCTATCACCAGTTTATGTTTAATAATAGTATACCATGCTGGAAGCTTACCAGGATTCCAGGTGACCAGCATACATTGTTTAAATACTGGTATGATTATTTAAACTAGAGAACATAAATATATTACAAAGATTGATTGTGCATTTCTGTGCTTTGAATCCACTTCTTGAAGCAAACTGAACGCTGGGATGTTCTCAGAGATGTGTGATAGGAAAAGCCCTTGATGGGATGTCCAAGCTTGTTTGTATTAATAGCTCAGTAGTAAGGGACTCAGAGGAGACGGTGGGAGGGAGGGAGGTGAGGGGGAGGGGCTGGGGATGATGAGCAGCCACTCTGACAGATACATCTCCGCTCCGTCGCGCTGCGCCTCTCCAGACTTCATGGGTGCTGGCCGCCCTGTTCCTGCTGTCCAGCCATATTGTCAAACGCTCGGGAAGAGTTTGGTGACCTACTTCGCAGAAAAAGTTCCCGCCACACAAACAGTTGGGTGAGGATCGCTGATTGTATATGAACGCGTTTTGCTGCCAAAGCGCGCATAAAAGGAGAGGACACTGAAGTACTGTACAGACGCATGGATACCGGACACCTGGAGAATTAGGTAGGCTGGTGTATCAAATGTTTGTTGTGCTTAGCCTGAAGTGACACTGCAAGTACACAGCAAACAACTACTTTTGTTTAGTTCTTCTTTCATTATGTCCACACAAATTATTATTTGTAGTTCTATTACAAAAATAATACAGTATGTTGGAGTTATTGGAGGTGTGTCTGTACTGGAAACAGCAGCCTATATCCCCAATTAGTTTAGTTTATTTGTTTATAGTGTCGTGGACAGTCCCCATTGATCAACTGTCACAAAAAAGAGTTAATGGGGCAGCTATAGCCAACATTGCTAATTTCCAACTGTTGTCCCTGGCCAGATGATAATAGAAATCCTTAAAATACAATACATCAACAGCATTAGTTATAAAAAATGACAAAAGACAAGTAGATAGAGGCGAAAGGATAAAAGAGTACAATAAAATGCAAACAACACACGTTATACATACATGTCACATATACAGGGCCGCTTCTTGGCATAGGCGACATAGGCGGTCGCCTAGGGCGCCAGATCTGGGGGGGGGGGGGGGGGAGGCGCTGCGCTGGCAGCTCTGGGAGGGAAAAAAACATTTTTACTGTTTGCGCTCATCCTAATTTTCGGCCTTGATGTAACAACATTCATAATTAAGTCAAGGTAACACCCTTTTCACCCCGGTTACACTTTTCATTTGCCCTGTACGATGGGCGTTGTAATTGATGAAAGTGGGGGGTGTTGGCTTATCAGGCGTCCGCAGCTCACAGCCAAAGTGGGTGTGGGATCGAGCAAGAGAGATACATGCAATTTATGTAAACAAATATTTCCAAGGCACTCTTTTATAATTATTGGGGTAAACAGGTTTGAAATCATTTCAATGTATACTATAGGACAGAAAACCAAACATATCGTTTAAAACTTGAGAGATACAAAAATATGCATAAATAAACGTTAACTAGGTCAAATAAGATATGAATGAACAACACAAATAAAATAAGTTGCATTTATTCGCTATTGGTTATGTTCACATACTTATTTGATTATTAAAATGTAAACCAATCTTTTTCATATGGGTGTTTTACGGCCCGTCCACACAGCGGCGTGCGTTGAAAGCTTCACCATTCACTTTGAATGGGGTGACGTCACTTTGCTGGCGTGGCTCGCTGCAAAAGTTGAGCAATGTTCAAGTTTTGAAGCCACGGCAGAAGCGTCAGCCAATCGAATCATATGCCAGTACAAGCTCTAGCCAATCAAACCGCTGCTTGTATGTCAGGGGCGGGAGATTCATGTGATTGGTTGTTGGTCAAGTTTCAGACACGCCCGCCGGCAAGCTTCAACGCACGCCGCTGTGTGGACGGGCCGTTAGAGTTGTACCCCCTAGATCAGGTCTCTAGTAATGTGTGCTCTAAGTGCACCAGATTGAAGAATTGTACTTTAAATGTTCAAACACCCCCCTAGAGGATGTGATGTCCTCACCCCAATTAAAACATGTTCATATACAGTAATACTGAATACATTTGAAGCCTTTGATGTATATGACTTATGTCAATACGTTTCTGTTTTTGTAGTGCATTGGTCTTTTGTAGAGATTTTTCATTTATTTTTTATATATTCTATTGTGTATTCCTTGGATACTTTTATTTGTTCTACTGAACGATTTTCTGGCAGGGGGGGGGCGCCAGCTAAAATCTCGCCTAGGGCAACAAATTGGTTAGAACCGGCCCTGCACATATAGCACATCAAAAGCAATAAAGACCATTTAAAGTGCTTGAAAGTATTTGAACATATGCAATTGTCTATATAATAATGTTGTATAATATGCGCAAGTAATAAGCCACTACTGTTTACCTTTATAAGAAGATCAATTATTAAATGCCTGAGTATGCCCTGCTATTTAGCAGAAGTAGATTTATTTCATATTCAGTGTCAACACTGTTGATTCCCAGCCTCATGGGGAAGTTGTTGCCATGCAGCTGGTGTTGACACAGAGTTGGGAAAGGGGAGACTGTTCAATCACATGACATGGAGTTGACTCAATCTGATAGTCCACTGCAAGGTGATGCAT